CTTCTTTCATTCGCGTAATAAAATGGAACAAAGCTCGGTCCTGATGCATGGACTGCTAACAGCGATACCGAACAAGTACGTTAGGTTTTGAAGATTATAGTTATATAAAAAACTTTCAAATTATGCAAACGGTCTTGGTCTAAAAGGTGTCACTATTTCGTAACTACGGCTAGAATCATACCATGTTTCCATTGCTCAACTTAATGACAACTTAAGTCTTAAACATCAATGTACGCAGCAACAAACCGAAATCGGCAATTCACGATTGCAGCACAGTCGATAGTTAGCGAAGTAGACGTGTGTTGATAATTCACTAAGTTATTTTTCAGTTCTTCAGTGGAACTGAGGCCAAAATAACTTGTCAGCAAGTGCTGTTTTCTTACCTCGAAACTCTGGTCTTCCGCCATGTTGCTTTCTGCACAGACGAGGCTATTTTCCGTTCCATTCTCCTCTCAGAGCCTCGTTCCAAGTCCGCTCGCGTGGAGCGAAGAAAAAGCCTCGTTTCGAGATCTCCAGAGAAGGAACTCCTCAAGTTCCAATACAATGTGTAACTTTAGCCATTTACTTGTTCAACCCTCAGTACAAAACTGGAAAGCATGGTCGATGGCAAGCATATGCCTGATTGTGGCGTAACCGGAAATAAAACAAAAAAGCCTAATGAAGTGTCTTAACTGTTTTTACTGCGTTTTCTGTGCCCTATGACCTGTGCCCTGTGCCCTGTAACCTGTGCCCTGTGCCCTGTGCCCTGTGCCCTATGACCTGTGCCCTGTGCCCTATGACCTGTAACCTGTGCCCTGTGCCCTGTGCCCTGTGACCTTGCCCTGTGCCCTGTGACCTGTGACCTGCGTTTTGTACCTGCCGGCGTATCAAACGCTTTTGAAGATTACACATCGTTATAAAACCATTAAATAAAAAATAAACATACTAAATTCTTTATTATGTTGAAGCGTAATACTCTATTAATCATAATTTAAACAGTCCACTTTGGCGCTTGTCAAAAGTGAGAACCGGCTAGCCGTATAGGTGATTTTGGAAATTTTTTTTAACAGTTTCGCTAAAAGCCCACACGTGCTTCGATCGTCCCGAATATTGAGTGAGTACAATTTGTTTTGCAAAATTGTGGAATACTGCATTCTGTTCGAGATCTGTATGATAAAAACAGCGCTCATGGTACTGTTTCACCTCAGATGTGATGTATAAAAAGTATAAAAGGTTGGTTTACACGTCCCCAGACTTGTTGGCAAGATTTTGTAAAGTAAATTTGTCGAACGCAAAAAATTCCGCCTGATTTGTTTTCCAGGCCTAATCTACTGTGATCAAGAGCCCGCGCTCTTAAATGCGATCGAAGATGATTGCTATTTTTTGGGTGTACATATTAGGGCAATCAACTCGATGTAAGATTAAGTTCACTCTTAGCTTGGACTGTTTGCAAATTACTGTTCTCTAAAATCACTTAACCTTTCCCTCAAAAGTCACATGAATATGCTCTAAAGTTAACTGAATTGTGGAATACAAGTTTATTGTTTGATTATAAATTCGAGTTAATAGGAGCTTCGCTTTTAGCCCTGGCTAAATCTATATATTACGTTACTCTCGGCTATTTTCTTTTAACTCCCGATAACTCGAACCTTTTTTCGATCTCCCTTGAAGGTTCGAGTTATCGGGAGTAGACTGTATTTTGGGATGACGTATTTGTGGTTAGAAATTCAGTGTTCAGTATTCAGTAAGCTTCAGTATTCGGCCGTTATCTTTAGAAAACGAAGCAATTTTGAAATGCAATTCTACCTCATAGTACTTTCATCCACTTTTAAACGAGTTTCAAAAGATTATAGGGATGGCTTTAGCTGTTAGCAAGAAGAAGGGATTTGATAATACATTCAGGCAAAGTGCTCTTGTTGGTTTTTTTTTTTTTACAATTTGGACTACTTCACCAAAATAGCAAATAATTTTCAAACCGCTCGATAAATGTTTTTAAAAATTTAAGATTATCCAGAGTAACCGTCCGCATTTAGATGATACTTGAGTTTCAATATTTTTGATAACTTGTAAGGTAATAAAATAAGGGCTACAATTCGCTATTTTACTTTATCGAAATTTCGTCTTTACGAGAGCCTCTCATTATTCTGGGGTATTGTCTCCAACTTTCATATTTCGGTGCAAAACAATAACTTAGATTTCTGCATATTTCAAATGCATTGTTAGTTACTGCTGTTGATGTAAAAATGAAACTTGGAGACAATACCCTGAATAGTTAGAAACAAACTGTACGCTGACGACAGTGACAATCATTACGAAGGAGCAATAAGGATTCAGTATTACGTCAATTTGTGATCTGTACTAACAACAAACCTCCGGTTTAGGCCCCGTCCACACGAATCTTGAAATTTTTGAAACCGCATTTTTTTACACGAATCGGCCATTCGTCCACAAGAAACTAGTAAATCCGTTGTCCGAAAAGGCATCTTGTTGAAACCCCTGTCAAGAGTCAGGTTTAAGACCCCCTCCACACGAACGACGGCTGCTTACTAATGTCAAGGACAAAGACAAACCGGAGGACAGACAGGGAGCAGTATACAAGATCAAATGCTGCGACTGCCAGGCTTCTTACATTGGTGAAACCGGCAGAAACCTAAGCACGCGACTGACCGAACACGAACGAGCGATGAGGAATGGTGACGTCAACAATCACATTGCTGAACACCATTTACAGACGAAACATCAAATTGATTCAGACTCTGCAACATGTATTACGTATTCTACAGACTACTACCAACGACTTACTTAATAGAAAGCTGGTCTACTAACTTTAATTAGAACAAGCGCCACTGAATCTTAGCCAACAGTTACCAGCACTGTACAAACGATTTATTGACGACATTAAGCAAAACTAACTACGAGAGAACGACTGGAGAAATGACAATTTGACTAACAATAGACGACTGTTTAACTGTGACAATAGACGGATCGAAACGCACCAATAACTGTTCACGAGTCTTCATAGCTAATAACATCACGGCTTAACTGACAGACGGCCAATAACATCGCGACGTAATTGACCAATCAGATCAATAACGAGAGTATAATATCATGAACTGACGTGATACAACTAACTTTGACTCTGAAGACGACTACCGCACAGGTTGTCGCAACGTCAGTCACTGTCAACAACAACAGTCCTATTCAGGACTACGTTCACCCGGACGATCAAACTCAAGCTACTTTTGAAACGACTGCTGGGTTCAAACCTTTCACAGTATTAAAATATGTGCGTTAGAGTGCAGAAGGATTTTAAATTTTTGTCTGTCCGATCCATAAAACTAATTTCAGTTTAACATGTATTAGAAAGCACATTTCTGCATTTTCTTCACATCAACGCGCACAACTCTATAATGAAAACAGAAAAGTAAAAGACAGGAAACAATGATAACTTTATATTTCCTTTTCTAGGTGTATTACCATCAAGAAACAGCCACATTTTCATACTACAACTGCTAAATGACAGAAAAGAATAGAATAGAGTACCACGAGCAACAACCAAGCATTGCTAAAGAAGTCGGCGACAGGGACGGACAAGATCGTGCCTATGGCAATCTCGGCAATGCTTATCAATGCCTTGGCCGATTCCAACAAGCAATAGAGTACCACGAGCAATGTCTGAGCATCGCAATAGAAGTCGGCGACAGAGCCGGACAAGAAAGTGCCTATGGCAATCTCGGCAATGCTTATTACCGCCTTGGCCAATTCCAACAAGCAATAGAGTACCACAAGCAATGCCTGAGCATTGCAATAGAAGTCAGCGACAGGGCCGGACAAGGACGTGCCTATTGCAATCTCGGCATTGCTTATCGATCCCTTGGCCAATCGCAACAAGCAATAGAGTACCACAAGCAATGCCTGAGCATTGCAATAGAAGTCAGCGACAGGGCCGGACAAGGACGTGCCTATGGCAATCTCGGCATTGCTTATCGATCCCTTGGCCAATTCCAACAAGCAATAGAGTACCACAAGCAATGCCTGAGCATTGCAATAGAAGTCGGCGACAGGGCCGGACAAGGACGTGCCTATGGCATGCTCGGCATTGCTTATCGATCCCTTGGCCAATTCCATCAAGCAATAGAGTACCACAAGCAATGCCTGAGCATTGCAATAGAATTCGGCGACAGCGCCGAACAAGGACGTGCCTATGGCATGCTCGGCATTGCTTATGACTGCCTTGGACAATTCCAACAAGCAATAGCGTTTCACAAGCAAGACCTGGGCATTGCAATAGAAGTCAGCGACAGGGACGGACAAGAACGTGCCTATGGCAATCTCGGCAATGTTTATCAATGCCTTGGCCAATTCCAACAAGCAATAGAGTACCACAAGCAATGCCTGAGCATTGCAATAGAAGTCGGCGACAGAGCCGGACAAGGACGTACCTATGGCAATCTCGGCAATGATTATTGCTGCCTTGGCCAATTCCAAAAAGCAATAGAGTACTACAAGCAATGCCTGAGTATTGCAATAGAATTCGGCGACAGGGACGGACAAGGAAGTACCTATGGCAATCTCGGCATTGCTTATCAATCCCTTGGCCAATGCCAACAAGCAATAGAGTACCACAAGCAAGACCTGAGCATTGCAATAGAAGTCGGCAACAGGGCCGGACAAGCAGCTACCTATGGCAATCTCGGCATTGCTTATTGCCGCCTTGGCCAATTCCAACAAGCAATAGAGTACCACAAGCAAGACCTGAGCATTGCAATAGAAGTCAGCGACAGGGCCGGACAAGGACGTGCCTATGATAATCTCGGTGATGCCTATTTATACCTCGAGGACTTCGAACAATCAATGAAGCACTTCAAGCAAGGCCTCAGCATTGCAATAGAAGTCGGCGACAGGGCTGGAGAAGGAAGGTCCTATAGTAACCTCGGCTCAGTTTATAACTCCCTCGGCGACTTCCAAAGAGCAATAGAGCATCATAAGCAAAGCCTAAGCATTGCTAAGGAAGTGGGCGACAGGTCCGGAGAGGGATATACCTATGGCCAACTCGGCCTTGCTTATATATCCATTGAACAATTCCAACAAGCTTTCGAGTACCACAAGCAACAGCTGAAAATTGCTAAGGAAGTGGGTGACATGTTCCAAGAAGGATGTTCCTATAGAAACTTGGGTATAACTCTTATGTTGTCAGGTTCTTTGGATGAGGCTGTAGTTCATTTCAGATTCAGCGTAAAAACGTTGGATACCATTAGGAAAAGTTTCATTTCGGAAGATGCATGGAAAATAAGTTTTCGTAAGCGTTTCAAACACAGCCATCATTATTTATGTCGAGTTCTTATAGCGCTTCAAAAGACGGATGAGGCTTTGTTCGCGGCCGAACGGGGACGAGCAGCGGCTCTGCTAGATGCCTTGAAAATAAAGTATGGCCTTACATCCCTTTCGCCCATTTCAAATGAAACTGAGGAAGATTTCGCATGCATTTCAAGGAACATATCTGTTTTGACAATGTTTATTGCATTGGACAATGGAACAATAAGCTTGTGGGTACTGGGAAAGAAAACCAACGCTATTTTTAGGCAGGCAGTACTAAAAGGTGGAGGTTCACACGAAGATCCCTTTGATGCAGTTTTGAAAGCTTCTTTGATAAAAATTGGGGCTGGCAGAGATGTTAGATGCGAGAATCGGTCACTTGATGTTTCAAGCGATAAGTCAACTTCAAGTTCTCAGGAAGATGATAAAATATCGATTCCATCGGACGAGAATATCGACTGGTTACAGCCATTGCATGATATAGTTTTTGGTCCCATCGAAGACTTACTTGATGGCGATGAACTGGTTGTAGTCCCTGATGGTGCTTTGTGTTTAGCTCCTTGGACAGCCCTAAGTAGGACAGACAGGGAGCAGTATACAAGATCAAATGCTGCGACTGCCAGGCTTCTTACATTGGTGAAACCGGCAGAAACCTAAGCACGCGACTGACCGAACACGAACGAGCGATGAGGAATGGTGACGTCAACAATCACATTGCTGAACACCATTTACAGACGAAACATCAAATTGATTCAGACTCTGCAACATGTATTACGTATTCTACAGACTACTACCAACGACTTACTTAATAGAAAGCTGGTCTACTAACTTTAATTAGAACAAGCGCCACTGAATCTTAGCCAACAGTTACCAGCACTGTACAAACGATTTATTGACGACATTAAGCAAAACTAACTACGAGAGAACGACTGGAGAAATGACAATTTGACTAACAATAGACGACTGTTTAACTGTGACAATAGACGGATCGAAACGCACCAATAACTGTTCACGAGTCTTCATAGCTAATAACATCACGGCTTAACTGACAGACGGCCAATAACATCGCGACGTAATTGACCAATCAGATCAATAACGAGAGTATAATATCATGAACTGACGTGATACAACTAACTTTGACTCTGAAGACGACTACCGCACAGGTTGTCGCAACGTCAGTCACTGTCAACAACAACAGTCCTATTCAGGACTACGTTCACCCGGACGATCAAACTCAAGCTACTTTTGAAACGACTGCTGGGTTCAAACCTTTCACAGTATTAAAATATGTGCGTTAGAGTGCAGAAGGATTTTAAATTTTTGTCTGTCCGATCCATAAAACTAATTTCAGTTTAACATGTATTAGAAAGCACATTTCTGCATTTTCTTCACATCAACGCGCACAACTCTATAATGAAAACAGAAAAGTAAAAGACAGGAAACAATGATAACTTTATATTTCCTTTTCTAGGTGTATTACCATCAAGAAACAGCCACATTTTCATACTACAACTGCTAAATGACAGAAAAGAATAGAATAGAGTACCACGAGCAACAACCAAGCATTGCTAAAGAAGTCGGCGACAGGGACGGACAAGATCGTGCCTATGGCAATCTCGGCAATGCTTATCAATGCCTTGGCCGATTCCAACAAGCAATAGAGTACCACGAGCAATGTCTGAGCATCGCAATAGAAGTCGGCGACAGAGCCGGACAAGAAAGTGCCTATGGCAATCTCGGCAATGCTTATTACCGCCTTGGCCAATTCCAACAAGCAATAGAGTACCACAAGCAATGCCTGAGCATTGCAATAGAAGTCGGCGACCGAGCAGGACAAGAAAGTGCCTATGGCAATCTCGGCAATGCTTATTACCGCCTTGGCCAATTCCAACAAGCAATAGAGTACCACAAGCAATGCCTGAGCATTGCAATAGAAGTCAGCGACAGGGCCGGACAAGGACGTGCCTATTGCAATCTCGGCATTGCTTATCGATCCCTTGGCCAATCGCAACAAGCAATAGAGTACCACAAGCAATGCCTGAGCATTGCAATAGAAGTCAGCGACAGGGCCGGACAAGGACGTGCCTATGGCAATCTCGGCATTGCTTATCGATCCCTTGGCCAATTCCAACAAGCAATAGAGTACCACAAGCAATGCCTGAGCATTGCAATAGAAGTCGGCGACAGGGCCGGACAAGGACGTGCCTATGGCATGCTCGGCATTGCTTATCGATCCCTTGGCCAATTCCATCAAGCAATAGAGTACCACAAGCAATGCCTGAGCATTGCAATAGAATTCGGCGACAGCGCCGAACAAGGACGTGCCTATGGCATGCTCGGCATTGCTTATGACTGCCTTGGACAATTCCAACAAGCAATAGCGTTTCACAAGCAAGACCTGGGCATTGCAATAGAAGTCAGCGACAGGGACGGACAAGAACGTGCCTATGGCAATCTCGGCAATGTTTATCAATGCCTTGGCCAATTCCAACAAGCAATAGAGTACCACAAGCAATGCCTGAGCATTGCAATAGAAGTCGGCGACAGAGCCGGACAAGGACGTACCTATGGCAATCTCGGCAATGATTATTGCTGCCTTGGCCAATTCCAAAAAGCAATAGAGTACTACAAGCAATGCCTGAGTATTGCAATAGAATTCGGCGACAGGGACGGACAAGGAAGTACCTATGGCAATCTCGGCATTGCTTATCAATCCCTTGGCCAATGCCAACAAGCAATAGAGTACCACAAGCAAGACCTGAGCATTGCAATAGAAGTCGGCAACAGGGCCGGACAAGCAGCTACCTATGGCAATCTCGGCATTGCTTATTGCCGCCTTGGCCAATTCCAACAAGCAATAGAGTACCACAAGCAAGACCTGAGCATTGCAATAGAAGTCAGCGACAGGGCCGGACAAGGACGTGCCTATGATAATCTCGGTGATGCCTATTTATACCTCGAGGACTTCGAACAATCAATGAAGCACTTCAAGCAAGGCCTCAGCATTGCAATAGAAGTCGGCGACAGGGCTGGAGAAGGAAGGTCCTATAGTAACCTCGGCTCAGTTTATAACTCCCTCGGCGACTTCCAAAGAGCAATAGAGCATCATAAGCAAAGCCTAAGCATTGCTAAGGAAGTGGGCGACAGGTCCGGAGAGGGATATACCTATGGCCAACTCGGCCTTGCTTATATATCCATTGAACAATTCCAACAAGCTTTCGAGTACCACAAGCAACAGCTGAAAATTGCTAAGGAAGTGGGTGACATGTTCCAAGAAGGATGTTCCTATAGAAACTTGGGTATAACTCTTATGTTGTCAGGTTCTTTGGATGAGGCTGTAGTTCATTTCAGATTCAGCGTAAAAACGTTGGATACCATTAGGAAAAGTTTCATTTCGGAAGATGCATGGAAAATAAGTTTTCGTAAGCGTTTCAAACACAGCCATCATTATTTATGTCGAGTTCTTATAGCGCTTCAAAAGACGGATGAGGCTTTGTTCGCGGCCGAACGGGGACGAGCAGCGGCTCTGCTAGATGCCTTGAAAATAAAGTATGGCCTTACATCCCTTTCGCCCATTTCAAATGAAACTGAGGAAGATTTCGCATGCATTTCAAGGAACATATCTGTTTTGACAATGTTTATTGCATTGGACAATGGAACAATAAGCTTGTGGGTACTGGGAAAGAAAACCAACGCTATTTTTAGGCAGGCAGTACTAAAAGGTGGAGGTTCACACGAAGATCCCTTTGATGCAGTTTTGAAAGCTTCTTTGATAAAAATTGGGGCTGGCAGAGATGTTAGATGCGAGAATCGGTCACTTGATGTTTCAAGCGATAAGTCAACTTCAAGTTCTCAGGAAGATGATAAAATATCGATTCCATCGGACGAGAATATCGACTGGTTACAGCCATTGCATGATATAGTTTTTGGTCCCATCGAAGACTTACTTGATGGCGATGAACTGGTTGTAGTCCCTGATGGTGCTTTGTGTTTAGCTCCTTGGACAGCCCTAAGTGAAACTTTAAGGATCTGTATTATTCCCTCACTGACAAGTTTGAAAGTAATAAGAGATTCTTCAAGTGAATATCACAGTAAAACTGGCGCCCTGCTTGTTGGAGATCCATGTTTGAGGAAAGTTACAAATAAATGGGATAAACCCATTTATGATCAGCTGGAGTTCGCAAGAAAAGAAGTGGAGATGATTGGAAAACTTCTTAACAGCCAACCACTCACAGGAGAAGCTGCAACCAAAGAAGAGTTGCTTCGGAGAATAGATTCAGTCGCGTTGATTCACATTGCAGCACACGGAGGAAAGGAAGCTGGTGAAATTGCTTTGGCTCCCAACCCCGGGTGGCAATCCAAGACTCGTATCCCTACGGAAGAGGACTACATGTTGAAAATGTCTGATTTACAGGCCATTCAGCTGACAGCGAGGCTAGTTGTGCTTAGTTGCTGCCATAGTGGTCAAGGAGAGGTCTCGTCTGAGGGTGTGGTCGGTATGGCAAGGGCTTTCTTGTTTGCTGGTGCTCGTTCTGTGCTGGCGTCACTCTGGGCTATTGATGATGAAGCCACGATGGTGTTTATGGAATGTTTCTACCAACACCTGAGAGGTGGAGAAAGTGCTAGTACTGCTCTGCAGAAGGCCATGAAATGCCTTCGAGATTCGGACGACTTTTCCGCCCCAAAGTACTGGGCTCCATTTGTACTGATTGGCGATGACGTCACGATTGAATTTGATGTAAACCGTTGAGAAAGCTGTAAGTACAGATTTTTCTTTTGTTTTAGATCTCTTAGGGTCCTAATATATTAAATAAGGTTTAAGGTTTTATTGTCACCAAATTAAAATGTAAAGGAATTGACAAAATTAAATAGAAATAAGTAGTAAAAGCAAGACTTAGTGTGAATAATATCGACAAAAAAAAAATATATGGATGGTTCGTTCTGGATTTACGTAATCAGATTTCATTTCTGTAATAAAAAATTGTTTAAAAACGTTTGTTGAACACTATGGAAACCTTTCAATAATCATATAATCAAGTGCAAAAACAGCATTCACTGTAAATGGCTGTTGCCGTGACATACTGGCTGTGGATTATGCGTTGAGAATTCTTAGTTTTTGCCTCAACATTTTAGTTTGAACTACCATTAAGTCATCATTTTACTCGATTCAAAAGAGAAATGTCATATTTGTCAAAAAGAGTTTAAACCTTTATTTTATGATTTGTTATGAACAGAGAAGCAGGTTAAATAGGCCGAAAATAGACCAAAAAATGTTTCTAAAAACCCATTTTTGTGTATACACCATATAGCTAGATAATACAAGTAGCTCTAACATACTCTCTTGTTGTAAAGTAATGAACGGTTTTGAGCTCCTGCCCAACTTTGATTTTACATTCGTCTCATCCTTGCTATCCTGTAATCTAAGGCTTTTTATCTTGAAACCTCTATAGAACGAGTAGTATTGAGGCCGTTATTTCGCTGTTCAAGCGTATTAATTAATCAAATGTTACTTTATTTACAGGGGCCGTGCTGATTGCAGGGAAATGTTAAAGAAAGAGTACTGCTGAATCAAAGGAACATTATAGTATCAAAGTCTATTTTACGTGAGGAAAAAACGTTTCGTGTAACCGTAGAAAATGAATATTATACTATTTTACTCCCTAAAACTATTGAAGCGAAGCAGCATTAGCTGATAGAGAAATTTTGCTTCCTTTGATGATGTTGAAATAGGTTTCTCAAATGGTACTTTCACTTACGCACGTGTTCCTTCGGTTAATCATTGCGTTAGAACAAATCTATAGAGCATAAAATATCTACAATTTTGGACCGTTGATTTTGCTATATATTCTTATACTTTACATATTGTTATTTTGCGCAAAATTTAGTTTTTTCAGCGTTAACTATTGGGAGTTTACCCTGAAAGTGTTAAAATCAGTTTCCTAAATGATTTTTTATACCTTAGCTTGTTGTGTTTAGTGTAAGATTTTGTTGCGTAACAACTATGGAAATTGGCAAATTGACGGAAAATTTACTTCGTCCAGACAAATGAATATGCGTTTTTGTCAAAGGATAATACATTCACGAACTTCAAAGGCTAAATTTTGGCCTAGTGGATGACATTGGATGGAAGGCCAGAACGCGTTATAAACGGAAGCGTCTCCAAACTAAAGCGCATCGCAACAGATTAGTCAGAGGCACCCAAAGACCGTTTTCTAGAAAAATTTTCGAAGCTCTCTAGTATGCCTAAAATTTTTATAGCGAAGCGAATTATTCATTTACATTGCTTTTAAAACACCCCAGGAAGCCTATAAAGAGGCATTTCAGAGCTGATTTTCGTGATAAAGCTGTCGTTGGGTGCGCTTGATTAGTAAGTTAGTAAATATCATTTTAGTTAAAACTGTAACTTACTATTCCTTGAGTGACATAACAGTTATAACAGGGCCCTGAAGGGGTAAAAAAGTAGGAACTGTGATTTCACTTTTTTTGGAGTGGGAAAATGGGATTTACTGCACTGGGAGAGGCATGAACAATTTTGAAAATGGCATTGCGGATTCTCTTCTTTAGAGGACTTGGACTCAATTATTTGACACAATTTTGCACAAATAAGCCTACTTTTGGAAATGGAGAAATCCAATCATGCATCAGTAAACCAAAGTATAGCAATGCAGAAATGAAGTTCTGTCAGCTTCCCTGTTCAGTGGTTTGTTGTCGCTGAAATGACATGCCCATTTGAGAAAGATCAAAATGGCGTCTGACTTAAAAAATGTTTCCCGCACTTTGTACAATTATGGTCATCGAAATGTTTGAGTTCAGCAAACAACTTGAATGCGGTAATCCGCACAGAAAATTGCGAACTATAATCTTTAACTGATT